CCTGTCTCCCTAGGCAACTCGTGGCTGTGACTTATTCAACTAAAACCAATTACATGATCCAGGTGCTACTACTTTAGCTTTGTTTCTTGACAATCCCCCTTGTCCACGGTCTCCTGGGGCTACTCCCAGCAGCACAGCTTGTGGTTGAGAGCTGAGGGTTGTGCCATCAGCTCCTAGCACATGACAATACTTGTGAAGTGCTGGAATATAGCAAGTGCTATGGTTTTAATTTTCATCACCACTTATCCTTGATCCATCTCTCCTTTTCCTCCAAGCTACCAAGTGTCCTTCATTTCCTGGGATAAGACTTTACTTCCAAAGCATAAAATCTTCTTTGAAGTAAATAAAGACTCCTGGCTTCCACTGAAGGAGGTGTGTGTGAATTTGATCCCCGGTAGCGGAAAAAAATCCCGTATGCCGCATGCTGTGGCCAAAAATAACTTTTTTAAGTGGGGGGTGGGGATACTTAGCATCAGGTGGCTTCTCCTGTTGCCTGCTGAAAACACTAAAAAGTCACTTTCATTATATTCTTGACCACCACATAAAAAAATAAACTCAAAATGGATTAAGGATTTAAATGTAAGACTGGATACTATAAATTCCAGAAGAAAACACAGGTAGAACATTCTTTGACATAAATCACAGAATTTTTTTTTTGGATCTGTCTCCTAAAGCAAAGGAAATAGAAGCAAAAATAAACAAATATGACCCAATTAAATTTAGCTTTAGCACAGCAAAGGAAACCATTAGCAAAACAAAAAGACACCTACTGAATGGGAGAAAATATTTGCAGATGATGTAACTGTTAAGGGATTAATATCTAACATATGCTGACAGCTCATACAACTCAACATGAAAAAAAAATTCTAATTAAGAATTGAGCAAAAGTACTAAAGACATTTTTCCTAAGAGAAAATGCACATGAAAAGATGCTTAATATCACTTATCATCAGGGAAATCAAAACCACAATGAGATATCACCTCAAACCTGTCAGAATGACTGTCATCAAAAAGAACACAAATAATAAGTCTTGCCAAGGATGCAGAGAAAGGGGAACCTTCATACTCGGCTGCAGGGGAATGTAAATTGGTGCAGCCACTATGGAAAACAGTATGGAGGCCTCTCAAAAAATTAAGAATTCCACTCCTGTAAATACAGACAGAAAGAAAAAAAAACAACACTAATTCTAAAAGCTCATAGCAGCATTATTGACAATTGCCAAGATGGGGAAGCAACCTAAGTGTCCATGAACCAGATGAATGCATAAGGAAGATGTGGTGTGTGTGCATAAATATATGTGTGTGTGCTTGTGTGTACACACACATATATATACACACACACTAAAATACTCAGCCATTAAAAAAAAGTGAAATTTTGCCATTTGCAGCAATATGGATGGACTTGGAAGGAATCATGCTGAGTGAAATGTCAGACAAAGAAAGTCAAGTATTTATAACAACACTTACATGTGGAATCTAAAAAATACAACAAACTGGTGACTATAACAAAAAGCAGCAGACTCACAGAAAGAAGGGAGAGACGGTGTTGTAGAGGAGGGGGATTAAGAGGTGCAGACTATTAGGTATAAAATAAGCTACAAGGATTCACTGTACAACAAGAGGAATGTAGTCAGTATTTTATAACTGTAAAGGGAGTATAACCTTTGAAAGCCATTCCCTTCTCCAGCATATCATACACCCTTAACTTATATACTATTATACAGCAACTATATACTTCAATTTAAAAAAAGACCAAAGTCACCTTCATAGCCAAAGATTAATACCATTTTAAGGAATAAGCCAACTGGACATGATCCTTAATAAATCCAAGTCCTCAATAAAGAAGGCTCATTGAAGAAACAGAACCTCTGAGTCCCACAGCTCTAGGAGGCACTGCCCTCACACTGAACACAAAGCGGATGGTACCTCCTGGAGTTACACATGGCTGAGGTCTCAGGGAGGGCAGTGGGGAAGATGCTGGTACTAGAAGGAGACTTCTAGAAGCCAGGCCCTTCCCAGACATTTTCACTCTGTGTTGTCCATTTTAACATGAAACAATGAATGAGGAAGATGGTAATTCCTTTGTCCAAAGTTACCAAGAGGCAGAGTGGAGTTATTATATTGACTCCGAAATGAGGACAACTTCCTCTAGGTGGTCATTCCACAGCCTAAGTCCTGATTTGCCCAGTAATTAGCAGTAAGAACTTGGGCACATAAACTACTCTCTGTGGGTCCTCAGTAAAAGTGAAATTTCTCTGTACCTTCAGGGTTGCAATCACCCACATACATCAGCTATTATATGACCCTCCATGGTGTGACTTGCTAAGGTGTGTTAGAGTTTGAGAGCATTTTAATAAATACGCTTCTCAGGCATAAAGTCTTATAGCTACATTTAGTGGTATAATTTGTATTTCTAAGACGAAAAGCAGTATTTTCACCAGCTTCTGTTAATGGAAAGGAGCCTTGTTCTGTTTCCTTTCTCCTAAGTCAATCTAAATGGTGACCATGAAATTCACACAGCAAGTCAGAACTGAAAATGCATCACCCTGGTTTCAGCTCCAGGCACTTAAAAATCACCTGAGTAACTGTGTATTTAGTTGTCTACATTAGAAGAATGTTAACAGCAGTGATCACTTTGCTCCTAGGAACCAAAATATCCTTCACTTAGAAGCTGGAATCCGAAGTATTATCACCATAGAATAGTCAGAGCTGAAAACTTTAAGGCAGCTGAGACCCAAGCTACCTGGGTTTCTGGCAACAGACAAGGTAAAGTGCTTCTGTGAAGATCAGACTAAGGGAGGGTGGTCTGGGGTTTCTTCCCTGAGGTCCTGAATTCCTGCAACTAGAAAGGAAGTGCTATATTCAAGTATCAATCGTTGAGAACAAATGTCATTTAACATTAATCCAAGCTTGTAAATTACATTAGTGTACCCTTATCTACAAATTAGTTAAGGTTTATAAAAATGGCAAATACATTAGTTTTTTTAAAAACTAACTTCTGAAAAGAAATTAAGGGGGAAAAAAAGCAAAAGCCTCATTGATTGAGGTATGTCAACGGGACACAGGAGCCAACTGAAATAGCTCTCAATGCCCAAAGCTAGAACAGTTAGAACACGAGGTACTAGATGATAACCCAGAGTATAAAATATCCAGTTCATACTGATTGCATAAACAGGTGACAAGAGACAAAGCTCCCTTACAAAAGTCTGAATAATTTATAGACACTCCACCTTCAAGGAGAGACAGAGCTTAATCCAACTCCCTGCTCCTACAGGGGGCGCTGTGCAGACCCCCTTCTGCTATACGGTGGGCCCGGGCGGGAGGAGCTATACTATGCACAAACGCAACCACTACCCAGCCAGCTGATCAAGGCCAACACAAACATGAGGCAAGTTGGTATGCACTCTTGAAACGACGTGCTGAGACCAGCACTTTCCCTGTGGTGCTCCACCCCCCCAACTCATAACCTTAGTCATGAGAATGCTGGGCAAATCCCGAGAGGGGCATCCTACCAAACACTTGACCAGTGCTCCTCAAAACTGTCATAGCCTGAGACACTGTCATAGCCAAGGGGAACCTTAAAGAGTATTTTGGATGCGATCCTCAAAAGGAAGACATTAGGTAAAAACAAAAGCAATTTGAATCAGGTGTGGACTTCAGTCAACAGTTTTCAAGGTGAAGTGAAAACCGTTCATGCCCGACTCTTTGCGACGCCATGGGCTGTAGCCCACCAGGCTCCTCTGCCCATGAAATGCTCCAGGTAAGAACACTGGAGTGGGCAGCCGTTCCCTTCTCCAGGGAATCTTCCTGACCCAAGTCTCCGTATCGCAGGCAGATCCTTTACCAGCTGAGCTACCAGGGAAGCCCATATTATCAATCAGTTCATTAATTGCGACAAATGTGAAGATGAAATGGGGTAAATGGATGAGGGGGTGTTAGCTGCTCAGCTGTGTCCAACTCTTTGCGACCCCATGGACTGTAGCCCACCAGGCTCCTGTCCATGGAATTCTCCTTGCAACACTGGAGTGAGTTGCCATTCCTTTCCTCAGGGGATCTTCTCCACCCAGGGAATGAACCCGGGTCTCCTGCATTGCACGCAGATGTTTTAGCATTTGCGCCACCAATGGATGAGGGGTACATGAGAACTCTAATATCTTCTGTTTTTCCGTAAAATTACTCTTATAGCATAAGGAACATGATCATTAACACTGCGTTAACCTTGTAAGGGGACAGGTAGTTACTAGTCTTGCCGTGGTGGTCATTTCATGATGTTATTTAAATGTCAAATCACTATGTTGTACATCTGAAACTAACAATGTATCATCAACTTGTTTCAATAAAAATAACTGCTCCAAAAAAATAGTCTAATTAAAAAAAAAAACCTATAGGAACACACAGTAACATATACATTTGGGTAAACTCTGGGAGTTGGTGAGGGACAGGGAGGCCTGGCATGCTGCAGTTCACGGGGACCCAAAGAGTCAGACATGACTGAGCGACTGGACTGATAGGGAAAAATCTAAAATCACACTGAACTGATAATATTTTCACGGTAATTTTATTCCCAGTACTGTATAAGTTCTTATATGGAAGGTATATATGTAATTGCTATGAAACTTTGGGATATATTGGGGGGAAGAAAAAATGAGAACTAGTTTAGGCTTATCTCTTTATCAGCAGAAAATTTTTATTCCTTTGAAGGACAAACCACATCCAAGGCCTTAACTTACAGACACAAACCGAAGTAGCCATTAAAGCATTAGATACTGAGGTACAAGACACAGGGCGGGGAGCTTCGCCATCGCAGGCTGACGCCAAACTCGCTCCATCGACAGCCGAGCTCTGCCGGCGCGGGGGCGCGGTGGAGGGTAGGTGCTGATCTGCGGACCCGAAGGAGGACGCTGTGCTCTGCAAGTACTGAAGCGTTGTATACCAGCTTTGGGGGGAGATACGCTCACAACGGAGGGAAGAGGGGCGAAGCAGAGTGCCCGCGCGGGGCATTAGGCTGCCTTGCAGAGGGCCACAGCCGAGAAGCGAACCTCCCCCTGCTCACGCGCAGTGAATTCTCTGCAGACCTTGGCGGCGTCCTGAGGAGGAGGAGAGTTGGAAATGAAGTTCCGAACACCACCAGCTCACAACGAACACTTCAAGGGAAAACTATCACTGAGACCCGCAAAGTGCACCCTGACCAACACTAAACCTCCCAACAAACTTGAAAACCAGGGCGTAAGACAAGAGGGGAAAAAATATCAGGTGATGGGAAAGACAAGGACCCACATCACAGATGTGGCTTCGGAAGCTCTGATTATTACCACTAGCAAATGCTCTGTGCGCCTGCACCGTGGGCCTGGTTTTGACAAGTACACCCTCTTTCCCTCAAATCCAGAGACAGAAAATTGGTTTCTCTTCATTAGGGAAAAGTAAACGTTTTGGTGGTGATATCATGTCCCACTCTTGCGACCCCGTGGACTGTAGCCTGCCAGGTTCCTCTGTCCCTGGGATTCTCCAGGCACGAATACTGGAGTGGGTTGCCGTTTCCTTCTCCAGGGAAACGTAAACATTCTACAAAATTTAAATATCTGGTATTCCAGGTACATGTAAATGATAACTGCTTACATATTTAGGGAATGCCATGAATCACTAATTTTAAAACTCAAATTACAAAGAATAAGGACAGAAAATTGATCCCAATGTTACCTGCTGAATGCTAGGGTTTAAATGTATTGGAATCAGAATATCGATCATTGTTCAATTTGTAAAAAGTCCAGTAGAAAGAAAGTCCAACCAAAATATTAAATATAAGACCTTTAAGAGGCTATTGGATACTCTGACAGAAAACAACCACGAAACACCAGTTCCCAAGGTCTAAAATATCACCAACTTGATGAGTTTCAGCCCTTAAAAAGCATCAACCATATCCTGGTTTTCTTCCAGGTTTTGCACCACTCGGAAAAACTGTAGGGGATCTAAAGTAACATTCTGAGAATTTTTAATACAGTGGTATTACAGACTGCCTTCCCCAAATCCACTTTCCTTTAGGACCCATAGTGTCCATTAACATTAAGAGTGTAAAGACAGTAGCCAACTGCTACATACACAATAAGCAGTGACCTAATTCACTCAAATTTAAGATACTTGGGCTAAGTTTCTGTATTTTCTCACCAGTTGAGCAAGTTTATTTGGAGTAAAACCTAGGGCTTCCTGGACAGCTCCGTTGGTAAAGAACCTGCCTGCAATGCAGGAGACCCCGGTTTGACTCCTGGGTAGGGAAGATCTGCTGTAAAAGGTAGAGGCTACCCACTCCCGTGTTCCTGGGCTTCCCTGGTGGCAGTAAAGAATCTGCCTTCAATGGGGGAGACATGGGTTTGATCCCTGGGTTGGGAAGATCCCCTAGAGAAGGGAAAGGCTACTCACTCCAGGATTCTGGCCTGGAGAGTTCCCTGGACTGTACAGTCCACAGGGTGGCAGAGAGTCAGACACGACCGAGTGACTTTCACCTCTAACATATAGGACCAGTCTTAGGAAAAGAATTCCCACTGATTAAGATGCTGGCTGACTGTAATACAGCTTTTTTTTTTTTTTTTAAACAAAAAGGTTTTTACGTTCCCCACACCAAATTCTACTCACAGAACAGTTTTAGGTACTCTATGAAGAGCACGTTTTATGGTACAGGCATACCGAATTTTATTGCGCTTCACTTTACTGCGCTTTGAAGATACTGCATTTTCTTTTCACACAGACTGAAGGTTTGTAGCAAGCCTCCACGGAGTCAGCCTCCCGGCAGCACTTCCCCAGTGCATTTGCTCAGCTGGTTGTGTGTCACATTTTGGTAACTCTCACAGTATTTCAAACTTTTCACTAATATTAAACTTGTTATGGTCATCAGTAATCTTTGATGTTCCTATTGCAAAAATACTGACTCACTGAAGGCTCAGATCATAGCAATTCTTAACAGTATTTTAAATTAAGCTCTGCATATTGTTTTTTTAGACAAAACACTATTGTACACCTAAACATAGTTTTTATATACACTGGGAAACCAAAAAAATTCAACTCTTGAGATACCCACTTTATTGTGATGGTCTGGAACCGAACCCACAATGTGAGGCGTACCTGTTTACTAGGATAACCTTAGACAGGAGTTAAGTATGCACCTGGGAAACTTTAATCCAAATAGGATGCAACAAGAATTACTGCCCTTATTCTTTTTCTCTCCCATAAGTGAATCCCAACTCTCATGCAAACCTCCATCCTGTTTCTCTAGGTCTATTTCTCATTCCATATCACCATTCTCACGTACCCCTGGTATATCCAAGAATTAGCTCTGACTCATCGCAGGTGGATATGAAAGCTGGCTAGAGAAAGTGACCCCCCCTCCAAGAATGGCATCATTTGGTCCACTAACACTTTGAGATCACCAGGTTTATGACGTTTCAAAGACAGGTCTATTATAAAGGCAGTATCGTACAGTGGCTAAGACCAGAGACTCTAAAGACAGACCAACTAGATCTGAAGCTTGATTCGACAGCTTGTCATTGACCGTGGGCATCACTTACCTCTGCACTTCAGCTTCCTCATCTGTAAAATGTGAATAACTACCTCATAGCATCATTAAAAGGACTCTGTGAAACAGGTAATTAATGTAGAACAGCATCTAGCCTGGAGTCGGCAAACTGCAACGTGTGGACCAAATCCAGCCTGCCTATTTTTGTGAATAAAGTTTAAGTGGAACACAGCCATACGCATTCATTTAGACATTGCCTATGGGCTGCCTTGGAGCCGTCACAGAAGTGAATACATGCACCAGAGCCCATATGCCACAGGAAGCCTAAAATATTTCCTGGCTCGTCACAGAAAAAGTTTTTGCCAACTCCCTGTCTGCACATAAGCAAGCAGAAGAGTTTAGCTTTTATTACGACAAATGAAGAAATTATATCTTAACATCATGTTCAATTTTATTACAATTAAGCAATTTCCCTTTATAAGAGCAAACTGAATCAACTCTAGATTCATTTTTAGGGTGAAGTGGACTAGTCCGCCAGCTCTGCTTTAGAATTAAGAGCTGTCTACAGTCACTTGTACCAGGATGGTTACACAGTGACCCTGGATCTTAAAGTCCTCTTCAGGCATGTTGTGAATTTGCTTCTTTTGACCTGTTAACAGTGGCGCGACCATGTGGGAAGAAAAAAACTCCAGAGTTAACTACCTAACCAGAATTCACAGTTCAAGACCGACCCACACTCAGCTGTCAGAGAGGGATTAGGCAAGGCTTGGGTTGCTGTTCCGTGAGTCTGAGTCACTGGCTATGATGTAATCTGACAAAAGGACAATTGTCACCTTAATCCCACAGGAAGTAAGGAGTGACTTTCAGGCTAATTCTAACTGTGGGCTAAAGACGGAACATGAGACAGATTATTAATCAGTGCCATTCTAAAGCATAAAATGAGGTAGAAAGAATTACTAAGATGATCTTTTAAGCCCTAAAGACTGCTCTTATCCCAGGTGATTGATGTTGGCTGTACCAAAAAAAAGTCTGCATTTCAGAAGAGACAAACTGGCTAACACAATGTGGGCCCCAGTGGAAATGGATGCCGAAGATTACCTGCAGCAGCGAGTCCTCTGAGCTGGTGCCATGGTTCACCGGGAAAGGCATCCGTCCATCTGAAACAGAGAAGCCAGGCACGTCGATTCTCTCTGCGTGTTTTCTGGCCACTGTGCTTGTCCCACGTAAAGGCAAGCTTTAGATTCTTCCAAATACAACTACCACTCCCACCAAGGGAAGGCTGCCTACAAACAGGCTGGAAATGAGGTTCAAGTATTCCTAACATCCATCCCAGGCATTCTAATCAACAAGCACCAGGACCACACAAGCCCAACCTAGTGACCTAACATCCAGGCTTGTGCCCATCTCTTGGGAAGAACCACAGAGCAAAAGTTAGATGCAGTCTGTGAGATACAGGGGAGGCGGAGGCAAGACAAAGGGATCTTTGAGATTTCACGTGTCCCTCAACAACTGCTGATTGGCCCCAAGTTTTCTTTGCCCTTGCTTGCCCACAGGTAGTATCTTGGCTTGAGATAACACAGGTCCAAGTCTTTCCCCATTAATAAAGAGGATGACTCCTAAAACAGAGATGGACGATCTTCCTTGTTGCCAGCTAATGGGAATTACCCCAACATATCTAAATTCTTTTTACACAGATTGGGTCATGTTTAAGTATTTATTTCCTTCTAAAAGTATTCCTTATCTGAAAAGGATGATGGTGGAGACTCTATACTGGTGATGCTACAGTAGAAGGTAGAAGACAGAATCTGAATGCGTATCTTGAAGTGGCTGACCAATTCTCCTCACTGGTTTGTGACTAAATCCATTCATTCCACTGGTCAGCTGCCTGAGGGAGGTATCCTGGGCATGACAAGGGTTAAATGCCCCCATAAGAATACCATGGTGTTCCGGCTTCTTAAAGATATACTAAGTGCGGCCATAAAGGCCCACACCAGTACTGTAAGAAGAACTTTGTGTGAGAATGCAGTTATATTAGATTCCAGAAGTGAAACATACCAAGTTCATAGAGGTGGCCATCCACGTTGTTAAACAGAATAAAATGGAAGTTCACTTTGTCATCTACCTGAAGAGAATCAAGACATATTTTCGAAAATGAGAATTTTTATTGTATTATATACTGCATTTAAAAATAAAGCTGAAAGAAAAAATTAAGATATAAATGGCATAACATTGCATAAGTTTAAGGTGTACATCTGTTGATCTGATACCTGTATTTTGCAATACACAATAAGCAGGACCTAATTTGTTAAAAAATAAAGTCCCTAAGTGGAATATCCTTGAACCAACTTGCCTATGTATTATTTTAAATGATTAGAGCTAATATCTATTTTCTATATATTAGGTTTTATTCTAAGACCATTGAAGTAGATACACAGTAACTAACAGAACTCTTAAGACTTGCTTTTTACTAAGGAGGAACTGAAGACTTCAGGAGGATAAGCATCTCACCCAAGGTCAAGACTAGATAGTGGCAGAGCAAACTAGGGTTGTACAAACTTAAATCTAACAGTTGACTCGAAGGCTCTGTTATTATTGGTACGTAAGTCATCTGGAAACTGTGAGTCCTTGCTGGTCTAGCTTGCTCTCCAACTAAGAGTATCTAAAATGTTCATTACTAAGAAGGGTGTTACTCACTCTACTAGACTCATTTGAGACTACATAAAACATTATCAGCCCGAATTTACTCAAGACTGTGTCAAGTGCCAACTGGACATTTTGCAGAGCCATTTTTATGAACAGGTCTGGTCAAGGCATTATTCTGGTAGAACTTTCTGGCATTCCTCGGCCTTGAGTAGACACATGTGCTGGATCCTGGGGAGAGGTTTTTGCTCATGTTTCTAGGGAAACAGAGGTCACCTGGACCGCCTGGCTTTAACTTGTATTTACCCGACACTGGCCTTCCTGTGCCACGGCATCATGGGCTGCCTGAATGGCCTGCGGAAAACAGAGAAGAGTCAGCACAGAAACCTCCAGAGGACTAAAAATCAATGTTCTAGAAGTTCCCTTCCTACCTCATTCTTTTCAAAGCACTTTGCTCTGTCTTCAGGGGACAACTTCTCTGTTTCAGAGAGAAACTGTTTCAGAACGGACCCATCCTCTGGGGGGGGCAGAAAACAAACAAAAGCATCATCAGTACGGGTATAGTGTGAACGGGTGCACGTTTACAGATGACCGAAGACATCGCATCCTTGGTCATGTTTGGCAACCTGCGATTTTACCATGGCCTCAAAAGATGGGAATGAGCTGTCCCCTCCCCAGCCTCTTTCTCCAACCACTCTTCTCACTGCATTCAAACCAGAGAACTCTCCCTTCTAGGGTTCAGGCTCCTCCTTACATCTTCTCCCTGGCTCCCCAACCCCTTCATCTTCCACCTCACCCTCATCTCTCTGATCACATCTGTTACGGCACTGATCCAACTGTAGTACATATCTGTAAGATCTTTGATGCCATAAAAGCAGAACTGTCTTGTCTAGTCCTGTCATCTACAGCAGCTACCAACACATAACGCATTTTTACTGCATACATGATGCAACATTCAAACCGAGTAATGGTTCTCAAACCAAGACTTATTTCAGGGCAAAGAAAAGCAATCTTAGTAATACGGGTATCTAGATAGACATCAACCTAAAGACCTGAAATGCGAAGTGCCTAACAGTTTGGCCTAGAATAGCTAACTAGCGCCGATGGTTGGTGTAAACATTTTTCCATTGCTCAGTGTGTATGAAGCAACAACAACTGGCATTTCAAAAGACCTCGATTTGAATTTTCAGCTCTAAACCTCATCAGATTTGCTAAATGCACACCAATCAAAATTCGGAAGTTATAGGAAGCTCCTCGTAACTTTATAAGGGCTCTGACTCAGATGAAGCCTACGGCACCGTCAGGACCATGTTTACAGGATGATAGTATCTGCAGCTGATGGAATACGGCATTCTAAACAGAATGATACTCACTGCAGAAGCGATGAAAAGGACCAGGCTACAACTTCTTAATGGGACTATGCTGAGTCAATTATTTGAAAAAGTAGCTTCTAGAAGATCTGGTCCCTTTATGGCTGGATAACCCCCTCCTTTTTAATTTCAAAATTATACAAAGAGTAGAGAGTCTGGCCACAATTCCTTTGTTAAAAAAGGATCTGACCTGCGACAAACAACAGCATGGACTCTTAGATGAAGTTATTCAGCTCTCAGCCGCCCCCACCCACCGTCTAAATCAGGAGTTGGCAAACTGCTGCTGTCTATCTTTGTAAATAAAGTTTTACTGGAACACAGCCACATCCACTGCTTTACATCTTGTCTAAGGCCGCTCTTCTAGCGCTACAAGGGCAGAGAACATAGGGCCCTCAAAGCCTAAACGCGAGAGTAAGCTAGACTTACTCTCTAGCTTTTAAATGTGTTGACCCTTGGCCTAACTCATAATACAATGCCATGAACTTTAGCACTGTTAGCACTGTTAACTGAGCTTCTGCCCACTTCAGGGCTAAGACTCATCTCTTCTATGCCCTCCACAGCACCCGCTGGAGGCAGGCTAGAACCCCTGACGCAGCTTTGTTCAGAGATGGACCTTTCAAGGTGCTGGGCTGTGGCTATGCCCCTGCACGGTCTCCTGCTGCTTTAGGCCATGTCAGCTCTCCTGTTGCTTATGAGACACAGCATCATTAAACAAAGGTCCTAAAGGCTGGTATTTTATGGCTTAACATCAACTCCAGCTCTTTAGAATTGTTGAGACTAGACCAGGAGCACATGAGAATCACAACAATCTGCTGTCTGCTCACGGGAGAGCCCAAGAGTCTGCCACTCCAGGTGGAGGAAGCCACACCATGCTTCTTAGAAAAGGAGCTTCCCTTCCTCAAAAGAGAAGGAACAATGAGAATTCACCTGCTGATCCTATATGCCTAAGCAGGTTTTCCAAAAAAAAGGTTAAGGCAATGGTTTTGCTGAGTAGACCCTTGCGAGTGTTGGAAGGAGGCACTGCGGTTAACTGAAGATCAACTAGAGGATAACTGGCCTCAAAACCCACTCACCGAACTCCAGCTTGTCCTGATTATTGGCCACCGCGTGAATGAGTCCGATGGTTCCACAGGAGTTGCCAATGGTCTGCTTCATGAAGTACACCTTGGGACTGACTTCTTGTCCCTTCAGCTCTTCAATTTGTTTTTTCCTGAAGTTCTCATGCTGTGAGTTCAAGAAGACATTTTTACATCTCAAAATGCAAACGCAAAGCACAGACGGCAGCACAGTGAGTCACAGCGCCTAAACGGACACACAGGAGGGATGTGTGACCAGGAGTCTCGGTCCGAGGTGCTGGCCGGCACCCGGAGGATGGCCCGTCTGCCTCCCGTACCAAGTCAGCGCGTGGGGTTCTGAGAGGTGCAGACACCCCAGCCCGCAGCTGCACTGCAGTAGCAGCCCTGGATTGTAGCCCAAGTTTGTCTGGACACCACTGCCACCTTTTAGCTTGAGATGGATGGCGTGATTAAGTCAGAAAAACAGACAAGTTCGTTCTTTCCTTCCTTTTAACACCAACAACTGCATCTCACAAGTGCATTCTCATCAAGCATTGGTCAACTGAAAGCCCAAGGGCACCAGCTAGTTTATACCTTGTTATTCTCTGATGTTATTCTAGTCCAAGCACGTGTCACTTCAAAAACAAAACTATAGAAAGCAACAATTTAAAGAAATTCACGACTCCCTCATCTTTTTAATAAAAAACTGCTTGCGATGCAAAGACACGGGTTTGATACCCAGGTCAGGGAGATCCCCTGGAGAAGGAAATGGCAACCCATTCCAGTTAATTCTTGCCTGGGAATCGCATGGACAGAGGAGCCTGGTGGGTTACAGTCCATGGGGTTGCAAAGAGTCGGACACGACTGAGCAACTAAACAACTTTTAGGGAGGAACGACAACTGGTCTAGCATGCTGGATTGTGAGTTCACAAAAATTTGTAAGAAATCAGACACTCGTTTCTTTACCAATTATACACTACAGAAACGCTAATGTTTACAACCAGTATAAATCGTACAGAACCCTAGAAGTACATGTATTTCTAATTCTAGTAGCCTTGCATTATTTTACATGGAATTGAAGTTTCAGCTTTGTCTGTGGTACCATCAGAGGAATAAGCTCTCTTGCCACATAAGATCAACAAACTCCAAGTAGTAGGAAGTTCTAACATCATATATCTATCTACTGTACTGGAACTGAGCTTCCATCGACTGTTAAGGATTTTCACTTTTCTAAAAAAAGATTTAATTTTTCATAACGGGGTAGCATCATCCTTTATGGTTGTCTGAACTCTGGCATGGTGAGACTTCTGTAAATATTTCATGATCACTTAAAATGTTTTAGAAGTAGTCCATTTAGGATTTCACAATATTCTTTGACAAAATTAGATGCTTTCTAAATTAACATTAGCTTTTTGGAAGTCCACCTATAAACCTCAACTGGTTTTGAATTTGCTTCAGTATTTAGCCCAGGAGGTGTTTTGCTTAGCCCAGGTGTTTTGCGCTGCAAAATTGGCATTCACTGAATCCGACAGACTTAACTAGAGCTAAAGGAAAAAATATCAAGCTCTCTCAAGCACCAAATGTTCAATTCAGAACGTTCTCTAACCAAGAGCTGCTTGATCCAGCAAAATGAGACCATGGGCTTTTGTAAGACAAATACGCTTCTCCACTGCCTCCCAGAGGCCTTGCCTTTTGAAGGCTGCTGCTCAAAAACCCCCGAGTCATCATGGTTCCTGTGAGAACCCTCTGTGAGAGGCTCCAATGAGAGAAAACTGCATTTGATTTGATCTACAGGGAGGATACTTTGACTTGCAATTATCCAGGAACTCCATTTTCACCTAAGTGAAAATTCAGTAACAAACATGTCAGTGGGATTATCCTAATAGCTTTGAGTAACTGTTTTTGACCCCCAATATTTGGCCCACTGGACGAAAGCCTGAACTTTCCACAGGTTTAATTTATGCTGAGGATGTTTCTAGAAATGTCGCTTTAGGATGCTGCTTGAGTTAAACTCACTGTTTGGAATGATGCCCCATAGGCTAATGCCCCCAGAGTGTCAATTAAGCAGAATTCAACCACTCCTAAATCAGGGATCGAGCGGCAGCACTTGAACACAGAAAAGCCATGCTCATCAGTGGGATTCCGTACACCAAAGACCATCACGCTAGCTACCTTTTTATATCTGATACTCAGTCTTTGAGATACATCCATGCACACTTGCAGGAGGAAGACCACCTAAAGAGAAATGAAAAAGCATTTCCAAGACAGGTCTAATGTCCACCTGTTCAATGAGCTACAAGGTCAGCGAGTTAGGTGATTTCCACACAGGAACCAGGCACAGTGATTAAGCTTTAGAAGAACATGTAAGAAACTAAAAAACACAAGTGCGTTAAGTTGTAGGGAGTGGGGGGTTGGTAAGAAACCCCTGCATCCACTGAAGGCCCAGGCATTAGAGGCGTAAAATTAAAGAACCTATTGTTTTCTTGGGGTTTAGGCATGCCGGGATCCCTCCATTTTACACCAAGGTGAGAGTCTGAGACAGAACCCGACAATAAAACAACAGATCACAGGCCTTAAAGGCCAACAATCGGCCAGCCACTCCTTGGCGTGAAAAGCTTGGAAAAGCCTAGGTTCAACCTGCCTCACGAGTAGGATGAACAATCATCCGGGATAACGAGGATGATGGAACTGAGATGCAGTTTCTCTTCCAAGTTTAAGGCAACGCGGATGGACGCGAGATAACGCAATAAACTCAATCAACAGGACCCCCAGGGAGTATGGAACCACGAAAATGTGAGTTCTCCCTCCATCCCCGACAAGGAAAAGGCAGTGTGCCAGGCCTGGGGGGCCGGGACGGGAGGAGACCCTACGCCGTCCCCAACGCCTCGCCCGGGTTCGGGGGCAGCGCAGAGCCTGCGCAGCCGGGGCCCCACGCCCTACCTGTGCCGTGAGCGGGAAGAGCAGCAGCAGCGCGCAGGCCGGCGCCGGCACCGAGCCCAGAGACTCCTCCTCCAGGCCCAGGACGTCCTCGAAGCGCCACTGGCCGGCGACCCCCAGCCGGCTCAGCACCTGCGGAGAGGAGCCGCGGCGGCCGAGTGCGGAGACCCGCCAGGGCGAGCACCGCCGGACGAGGGGCGGCGGCTCAGCACCCCCGCGCCCCGCCCCGGGCCCGGCACCGCCCCGCCCCGCCCCCACCGCGGCCGGGCGCAGTGACACAGCACAAAGCGCGGCCCACACGTGGCTCCCGCGACGCCCGGGCATCCCAGCCCGCGCGCCCCGCGCCACGCCCTCGGGAGCGCGGCCTGGCGCTCGCCTCTGGGCCCGGCCTCCTCCAGCCCACCTCCCACCGGTTCCGCAGAGTCACCGCCGCCCCCCATGCAGCAGCAGGAAGACGGCGCCCGGGCCGCGCCCCAGCCCCGCCGCCTCTGGAGTGCGCAGGGGGCCGCTGGGTCTCCGCGAAACAGCCGAGGCCGCCTCGGTGCTCCCGGGGGGAGGGCAGAGGCAGCGCGAGACGTCACTCACTTTGTTCAGCATCTGAAAAGCAAATGCAAAGAAAAACAAAATGCAAAGATAAAATCAGTCAGCGATACGCTACCTAGCGAGGGCTGAGCCTCGGCCCTGCGCTCCCCGCCACCCCCGGGTAACCGTGCACCTGGCGCTCACCTCGGGGTTAATCTCCATCGGTTTGAGCTGCATCTTCGCGGACCTCGAAAAGAACACAACCCAGGGAAGCGAAAAAACAGCGAGCGGAGCCGCCCAGGCTGCCGCTATAAGGCGCCGGCCTGACGCACTGTGGGTGCCTGCGCAGGGGGAGCAAAGGCAAAACCAAGCGAGGGGGAACGGTCAGTCGCAGCCAAATGGGCACGAATCCCCCCATGCGCAGCGCGAAGTGGTACGGCCTAGCCCCCAAACCTTGCAGTCTCACTTGCTGGTGAGATAATCTGGTGGTTGTGAAGATGGGTTTTGTTGGTAGGTGTTTCTTGCATGTGTGGAGCAGTCCTTTTGATGAAGTCTAATTTTTTGCGAAGTTTCTGGAAAACCACGCTTTCGACCATCCCAATTACCTGAAAGCTTAGAGTCTCTGAAGCATTGAGAAAAAAACCAAATTCAACAGGTATATATTTAATATGAATATAAATACGTCTTCCAAATCTAGCCGCAGTTTGCATTTGACCTTAAAGAATTCATCCTCCATGTTAAATCAAACAAGCACTGAGATTCGTTTTTAATTGACTGCCTAGAAGAAAACATAGTCTGTAATATAGCATTTATTGCATTAGTAATGCTGATGTAATGTGATTCCCAGGGAGGAATTGGTTGGTCTTGGGGAAGCGGTAGAGACGGGAGAATGTGACTGTAATACAAGACAGACAGAAGGCAGGCTGTCGGAGCCTTTAGAAAACAGATCCAGTGAAAAGACAGGTATGATTTGAAGACGAGAGGCTGTAAAAGGAAAAGCACTTTTTTTCTCTCAAGGAATGGGAGGCTTTGAAAATAAAATGTGAAGTTCATGATACAATAGAAGAAGAAAGGTAATGGCAGCTAAAGAAACCACTGTTCTTTAATGATCTCAAGTGGGGTTTGGGTTTTTCTACCAGCATATTCAAAAGATGGAGACTACATATGCCTAAGAATGAATAAAAAGTGGAACAAAATCTGTAAGAATAGTACAGGAAAGCTTAACCTCAGAATGAAGGAGGGCTTGCTGAATAGTAAGGAAACAAGAAGATTGGGTATTTTTTCATTTATGCTCAGAACAAAACAATGATAATGGTGAAAGAACAGACTTACCATTTAGGGAATTCAAGGTTAAAAGATGAGAGAGAAGGGAGGGGATCTGCCTTTTTTTTTTCTTTTTTTTACAGTTTTTTTAACCTTTACAGTGGATCTGATTTTTTGCATGTCATCTCACTTAACCCTTAGAGGAGACAGTGAAGAAAATCTTAGTGCGGTTTTACAGCTCAGAATCCATGGCTTGGGGAAGGTAATTTCCTTTAAGATCACAATTCAAAGGGAAGACTGAGAAGTAAACCCTGGTAAACTGGGCTCAAGGAGTCCATTCTCTATCCAAAACTCTACTACATTCCACTTCTATTTTCTTCCCATTTTTGCCATCAGAAAAAATTACCTTCACATGGGTAATAAGAGAGGAAAAGATATTTGTAAGAAGAACTTAATGGATGAATGTTATTGTATGTAAATTATGCCTCAATAAAGTTGCTTCTTAAAAAAAAAGACTTGAAAGTCAGGACAGATGAATAGTAGTACAAGAATAGTTGACTACATTAGATTCATTCTTGCCTATAAGACAGGACAAATTACATCCCAATTTACATCATTTTTTTCAGCAAGCACTGATTAAGCACCTACTGTGTGATGGGGATACATAGGTGAACAAAGTAGCTTCTGACATGGAGCTCTTATCAGTTAATAAGAGGGGTGTGGGAGGAAGTTGAGCTCAGGAGCACTTACCCTAGGGAATCAGGAGGGCTTCCCAAAGGAAGCGACATTTAAGATAAGGCTGATGGACCCATGCAAGTTAGCAGATGACAGTTATTACCAAAGAAAACAGTAAAAGAAGTAATGATAACATTTTGAGGAATCTTTATCAAAGGTTTTCATTCATTAATTTATTCATTCAACAAATATATATATACCAGGGCCCTACTATGTGTCAGGAAGCATCAGAGCCATGAATAAAACAGCTCCCTGCCTACAAGAAGATGCCATAGGCTGGACATGAACAAACTGTATTCTGATCTTTAAAAAACAAACAGCGATGATAAAGGGAGAATATATTTAGCTCTGGAGATTTAGTATCAGTAGTTAGCCAAATTCTCAGACTCGTAATTAATGAACTCTTAGGAAAAATAGAATGGGTGCATCTGGAACAAGTGACGTCCACCGGTACTCCTTTTCTTTGGACTTTTGCCACGTGGACTGGTAGAACCCTGCTCAGTGTCTTCCTTCTTCACACTGCCTGAGTTGCCATCCCTTGGCATTGTAGTTGAAGTGGCTGTATAGCTTATTTAAGTTACTTTACCTTTAAAAAAGGAGGTACTGCTGAATGGAGTAGTCTCAGCCTGCAGCCACCTGGCAATCGTTCTGACCCCATCTTGTGCAGTTTTACTGGAGCCGAGAGAGAGTGCTCACATGCAAGCAAGAATAAGCAATCTAAAAAAATAAAAAGAATAAGCAATCTAAATAGCAGAACTGTGAGGCTAAGAGAAATAAGTTAAAAGAAAATGGTGAAATTTGATAGAGATTTTTGGTTGTACGAAATGGTTGTACTCCCTATGACTATACCAGAAAACTTTCAATGGGTGAATATATGTTGGCAAAGCTGTTAAAAATATAATGGGGATAGGTATGAAGCTCTGCGCATCAATCATCACCGTTCAGTTGGCCTTTATAGATAGTCACTTGTTTTTGATTCTGTGGTTTTAAAAGTATGTAATTGGAAAATATCAAGTGAAAAATAAGTCCACAACATTTTGTTTATAATCATTAAAAGTTAATAGACAAAGATGAGAAGGAAAAATATGTTTACAAATCAATTAAACATGCAGCGTAAACATGGAACAGACCTGTTATAGGTAGAAAAATAAAATCAGTGAGTGGATAAGTTGTCCTTCATAACTAAAGATGACATTTCTGATTTACCAGAAGTAGGATTTTTATAAGTGGTTTTTGTTTTTAGCAACAATGAAGATTTGGGATGGACCCTTTAAAAAATAACCTCTCTTTAATTTTGATCACTAATAAGACAGATATTCAAATGACCTTGGTAGAACAGTTCTAGAGTGTACGGAAGTCAATCCTGAAGGCTCCTCCCTAAGGTTAGTCTTTCAGCACTCCCAGTGGTTTTGTAAACAGGTATTTCCCTGTATTAAATCCCATTCTGTCTAAAATACCTACAGGAGTTTTGGACTCCTGCGTGGTATACTGCAGTCATGTCAGTAGCGGTACATGAAGTGATTTTAGGTGAATCACGAACATGGAACAGTTATTTATTTTAAGGCACATCATAAAAGCTGTATGCTCTTGTGAAAGTGAAATGGTTAGTCGAAAGTGAAAGTCGTCAGTCATTTCCGACTCCTTTCACCCCATGGACTGTGGTCCACCAGGTTCCTCTGTCCATGGGATTCTACAGGCAAGAATACCGGAGTGGGTTGCTGTTTCCTCCTCCTGGGAATCTTCCCAGCCCAGGGGTCAAACCCGTGTCTCTTCTATCTGACCTGCAGTGGCAGGCAGGCTCTTTACCACCGGCGCCACGGGAGACGTTGAAGGGGTAGAGTACACATTGTCTTTATGAAGGCTCGTGACTTGCGCCCTGGAGCAGTACTCCCCAAATATTTTGAGAAGTGGGTATTTCCGACTGAAGTCAGAAGTTACCCAAGGAGGGAGATGATAGAAAGAGCACTCGCTTTTTTGGTTATACAATGGACATTGTATTTGTCATCCCCATTGAATCCTCAGGCCAACCCTCTGATGTTCATATTTCTACATGGATTTTTCAGGTAAATAAACTGAGGCCTTGGAGAGGCTGCAATTGCTAGAAGTCACACAACTACTAAGTGTCTGACTCTGGTTGCAACCCAACTTCATTTGGTTTAAAAACCTGTGCATGTTCAACTCTCCTGCTTACTTCCTTCTAAGGGCTAGCCTTACAGCCTTAGCCATAGTAAGCATGAAGATCAGCCTCTGAGAAGGAACTTAACTAATTTCCACAGTGTCAGGGCCGGAGCAAGCCACCCAACTCTCTGAAAAGCATGGCTCACTTTGAGGTCTAAGAGTTTAGTTTGAATTTATAATTAGCACATAAATTATTGACAGAGTACTGCCTCAACCTTTTTTTTAACTTACTTAGCAATTCCTCTGTCAATAATGTTTCCCCTGAAGCAAGGTTCTGACATCCAGATATTTTAAAGTTAAAAATAACACAATAGAATTTTATATAATGCAAAGATGTTACTGCAGTTAGTCCCTATGGTAAAGTCAAGTTTCCTCCCGTTTCCTAAAAGCAGTTCCCTAACTCTGTATTCACAGGTGTGTCCAAAAGGAGAGAAACATGAGAGAGGAGCATGCATGTCCTCACTGAATTATGCCTTCCTTCATAGAGTCATATTCATTCAACGCAGGTTTTCTTGAGCACCTACTATGTGTCAGTCACCATACTAGGCTTACCTGGGTTGGGGGTTGAGGTTAGCAGATAATAGCCATAAGGCATAGACCATGCATCCTGGGCTTTTAAACATCATCAATTTTAAGATAAAGCTTCATTCGAGAGGGAGGGGGGATCCAGTCCATCAGATGTATTTATCAGATGTCAGGCATCTCTCTTTTCAAAAATGTGTAAATATGAAAAACAAGTGTATCTTAGACACAAGGAAACACTGGTGTCTTCTTTTTTCATCAAGCTCTTCATGATCAGTTTGTGTTCAGCAGAGCTCACAGCATGCACTGTCCACAGTGAAAAACAAATGCCTATGTTCTTAAGGTATAGAGGAAGGGCTTTAGTACATAGGAGTAATAAGACACAGCTAGCACGTGGTAGCGGAGAACACAAGGACCTCAGGACCAGTGAAACGGAGACCATGCCCTCCGGTTCCTCAGCTACTGTTTCTTGCGGAGCTGTGAAATTGGAATCAGGTGGCTTTGGTGGGCTTAGATCAGCCATCAGACATGTAAATAGT